CATTGTTTGATGGCTGGGTATCACAATAAAATATAAAACAGATGGAACTGTTACAAAGTGAATTCTTAAATCACAGCTCAACTAAAATGAATTCTGATCATATGGTTGTAGTTTATAATATCAAAGTGTCACAAATCAAAGCATATTCCATCTCACAAATTAGCTGACTGACCCATCAACTCCAGACATCAGGAGTCTTTGGTGTCAGCATTTTCCATGTCATTATGATACGGTCTGTCACAAACGTGACCCAGACAATAGCCTGATCCAGGCCGCAGTGAATCCAGGTCAGAGGTTAAGGTCCGGTTCACTAGAGTTTACCTGTCTATTTCCTGCAACACTAGTGCAAAGTGTGCCAGTCAGGCTAAGAAAACACTGAAACACATTTGTGAAAACACAAGTGCACACACACACACACACTCACACACACATATATTCATGTGATCTTCCATAAAAGCAGCAGACTTCCGCCTTACCAAGCTGAAAAAACAGTGGTTGGAGGGAGTGAGGTTAATTTGTGTGGGCCTGAGTTTCCTCTTAAAAGAGTTAAGTCACACAAACACCAATCAGATGTGCATGTGTGTATGTGGTGAAGAGGTGCAGACAGCTAGGGTTGTTTCACTGTCAGCAGTGCATGGATCAGCGAGGTGAGGGTTACAGTCAAGTTAAATCTACAGCAGGACAGAACACATTTGCATTAAAGGAATGACAGCGTGTGTGCGTTTTGCATGTGGGCTCTGTGTAGCCTGTCTGCCTTTTTTATTCAGGCGCTCTTTTGTGTCTCTGTGGTATCTTGGTACATTAATAACTCTGAGCCACACAGAAGTATGAGCCTTAGGTAAAGAAGAAAAGGCAGAGTGACCTCCCATGTCATTGCACCGGAATTATTTCTCATTTCTATAACAATATTGCATCACTTTTCCAGCCAATTCCCTGCTATTTTCATTCAAGATATATATAAAAAAAAGAAGCAAGAAGTCCTTTCAACAAAAACCCCACTTTTAATTATGGAAAACCTAGCAGAAGAGTGAAAAAGGTGGGCACAAAAAATTCATACACAGACAGCAGCAGATTCATGTTGCTGTGTTTATGTATAAAGCCAGGAACAATTTATTACCTGGTGGAATTCAAAAACTATTTAATGAAAGGGA